TATAGAGGACCACGTGTTTGATATGCAAGGTAAATCATTTGATACGAGTAATGCTGGAAGTAAAACATGTTCATTTACCAGGACTGATATATGCTTTAAAATTCACCAGAGTAATGGTTATGGTGCAAGTATTGTACTTTGCTGAAATTTGTTAGGCTTTTTCTAATACAATAAGACATTACTAAATGCAAGAAAATTTGTCAAGGAAACTAAAACAAATCATAGTTTAAGCAAAAGGATATCACACTCCTAGTTGCATTTTATATTTAACATTAGATCAGACAGTAATAAGACAGGTATTCCAATCACTGCACATTCATTTTCACTTTTAAGAGTAAATACTTTTGGAAGAAAATTGAAATGTGGCATTTGAAGTAAGGAAATGCATATGCAAACTCTATTCATATCATAAGTGAAGTATATCATAGAAACTGTGTGCAATGAGGGCATTCTGTTTCCTCCCACATACAGGGCAAGTATGATTGATATTACCACTGTGGGGGAGGGCTGTAGCTCTGTAGCACTCTTGGGGGAGGGCTGTAGAAAACAAATGCTGAGCTCCTGGAGTTGCTGTAGTTAGGTAAAACATCCCCTGTGTGTTCCAGGATTGAGTTCCGTTACTGGTATTAGTTACACTTGTTTCATGTAACTCACAAGGACTGTTATGTTAGAGGGATATATGGAGCATTCCTCCATTTGTTTTCAAATTATGTAGACTATTACAGTCCAACTAGTCCATGCTAGTCACAAAGTGTTTACACTCCACACAAGCCCCCACCCCTCCTATTCCAAACTTCCATACCCCTCTGTTCACTTCTACTTCATGTATGCAGACTCCACCATTGTCAAGTGATCTGGGACATTACCCCACGTGAAGGACGCTATATAAATATAAGTCGTTGAATTTTCCTCTTAAAAACATTGATGCTTTCTGGTGCTGCTAGCTATCTTAGAATTAATGACCCCTTTATTTTGGACTTAATGTCACGTGACCTTCAGCATCCATTTCAACTGACAGGCCTTGGTTTAAAGTTTCATTTGGCAGATTGCAATGGTGCCCCAATGTATGAGCTATCCCAGCACTGTATTGAAGTGTCAGCCTAGAATGTAAACTCCCATCCTGATGTGGAGCATTTTGGCCCAGAAACCAGAACTTAGCCATTGCTAATATAGTCAATATAATTAACAAACTCAATTTCTCTAAATGCATCTTAATTTCTCACAGTGTTGAGGCAGCTTTTTGTTAAAGCTGTAACTGCTCACCGTAGAGCTGGAATCACACATTTTCAGCATTAAATTATCTTTTCCTGTTGACCCAAGGTCAAAGGAAATACCATTTTGCTCATCTGACTGAGACATCAAACAGATAAAGCAGTCATTTTTTTCCAATGCGATTTCATTTAATTGTTTTGAAAATCTGCACTATTAACCATATTTAAAAAAAACTGTTAGAGGGTGCGAAGTAATGTTCGAAGAATAAATTGAGCAAAAAGTATAGATTCTACTTACATTGCTTATATTTAGCTCCCCTCCAAGAATAAAATCTGTAATATTTATAGCATGGAGGATAAGAAATAAATATCTTAGAAATATGAAAATATGCTAGTTTTAGAACACACTTACCATGGATTATGGTATGGTATACCAGTTCTACTTATAAGTAAAGGTCCAGATCTTCCAGATAGATCTGACTGTTATTCTAGGACTTTGTATTGACCAGAGCGATATGGCTAAAATTAATATCTAATAATAATAATCCTTGCATTTGATTTATATCATGTCTTCAAGACATCTCAAAGCACTTCACAGAATATACTATAAAGTGGATTGACTGTATGAGCCTCTTCACTAGTTGTTAACTCTTTGATATTATGAGTATAGAAAACTTTATAGGTAAGCTATGTATATTGCAGACCACATGTTAATTATTCATCTGATCCTTACAAAAATATATGTATACAATTACCATACTACTCCATATTTTGTTTCTAACCACTAAAGCCACGAACAGCTAAACTGACCAATCACTGTATACAGTCGATTGCAACTCAGATTTCCTTTTGTGAGGTTGTTGATGGGTTTCATAAAGTCCTTGTGAATATCAATATTTTTATTAGGCTGCATCTGTTCAGTGAGTCCACCTGAGCTTGGGTTCCCTTTGTGCAGGCTGTAATCTTTACAGAATAATGTCTAGCAGCAATAGCAACCTAATGAATGTAGTTAATGTAAACTGTATGGATAAACCTTGCAGTTGGATTCTAGCCTCACAGCCACCCATGTCTGTGGTTGTTTTTTTTTATCATATTGTGCTTTGAGGGTTTTTTGTAAAGTGAACTATTGCAGCCATAATCTCTTGCCTGTAGCACAATACAGGTAAGAAGGTAAAGCTGTACAGAGGCATACTGCAGCACACCTACATATATGTATAACTAGTTTAATGTGGTTTTTATGTTGATGAATAAAATATCTTATCTCTTCGTTCACGGTTATTACTTGAGCTGTGTGGTACTGTGCCGAGGTTTGAAGGCACAAGGTGGATCAATAGCACATCTTTGTCTATGATACTCGTTTCTTTGCAACGCTTCTCATAAAGTGCAGATGGACCACAGCTTAAGTGAATATCGCTTTACTGTGGGTTGGGATGTGGTGATTTCGCTAACACTTGAAAATACCTGCCTATTTGGACCACTTTTACTAATCTACCATCAACATCATGTGACACATCAACAGTAACTCCAAGTGTGGACCAACATGGATGATCTACGTTCAGCTTAAGCACTTTTAAAAAAAATTAACAACAACTTGTATTAACATAGAACCCTTTGTGTAGAGTGCTTGACACTCCCAACTAATAAGAGCAAGATACCAATTTGATACCCAGGCTTGTGCATCTCACTTAACAATCAATTAGTCGATTTCGCAATGCTAATAGATTCTTAGTGGACTCAGGATTCTCCGAGCCTCTGAAGACACCAATGTTGTCTCTTGGAAGAGATGTGTGATAATGGATATAAACCTGGAATCGGAGGATTCCATTCCCAATTTAAAGTACAAGTGGATAACTAGTGTGAGTATGAAGCAGCAACATCACCTTGAGATAGAATTTACTTGAATTCATATTATTATGACAGCAGAAGTATCCTCAGATAACAGACTGTAAAATCTGTAAGTTATTATAACAGCAGCAGTGTTACTGCATGACTGAGGAGAGTGAAAAGACACACTGATTTTAATACCCAGACACACCAAAGACCATCAAGTGATTCATATGGCGGTGGATCAATGATTTTTGAAGTGGTTTACCAAATTATTTTGCAGTTGGTATATGTTACAAAATCTTAGTTTCACTGTACAATATGCAAATACAGATTTTCCCTACACCCGCTAAGTAACAATGTTTAGGCACTTTTGAAAAAAATAAAAACTTGCATTAATATAGCACCCTTCATGTAGAGTGCTTGACACCCATAATTAAATTAGGAGCAAGTTCTGCCAATTTGATACCTTTAGGGACTTTCAACCAAAGAGATTTTGCTTGTGTATCTCACTTAAAATCAATTAGTCAATTTCATAGGACTAATAGAGTCATAGGGGACTCGGTCATAGTCAATAGCAGAGCTGAGGAGAGTGAAGAGACTTAGCTTAATGTCTAAATGTACATGAAGGTAAATTATAGCTTTGAAGATGCTTTATGATAGATCTTTCATAAGACCCCAAAACCCGAAAGTTAGGAAAGATGTGAAGGAAAAAAATCTTCTGTGGTAACACTCTCTATTCTAAAGAAGTGAATTTATTTTTATTATGTGGACATTCTTATTATATATGTTCTGGAGAATGTCATGTGATTCGAGTCATTATGTGATACTTGAGCGGCAGTCAGATGACACTTTTACTTTCACTGTAGTTATTTTACATTCTGGGTCAATGAGAGTATTAGCAGTACCCATATTCTAAATCTGTTGTCCTAAAACAGGTTTAATTAGCCACAGTAACTGTAACGTAAGCGTTCTGAGATGCCATCCAGCTGTATAAATGCAAGTTGTTGTAACCACCAACAGTATGTATCTCTCAGAGCTATTTTTAAAATGCATATTTTTAAATGCAAGGCTCAAAATTGAATCTTTATCAGATTTAAAGTAGCAAGCGAAACAAAAATGAAAACAGAATAGGTAAAGTGTCAAACCATACATCACAACAACAAACATAGTTATTGTTCTGGTGGTTTTGCAGCCATGTAGAGCCTTGTGCAACATTTGGGTGTAATTCTGCCTGCCTTTCTTGTAGAGTCTGTAAAATAACAACAAAACATACACTATTCACTTAATATATGTGATACAATCTCTGTGCCTTTTGATGACTGTTTACTGCAAGCTTATTATTCATCAGAACTGCACAAAAGCTGTCACACACGAATAGCTTGCCAAGCAGAAATCTTAAAAAAATGTGAGATCCACTTCAAAAACAAACTCCTGGAATAGGCAGACAAATAATCATTTACCTCAGCTGCACTTTCTGATAAACAGAGTAACTTCAGTAACACTATTCCTTCCCCATTTCTCTGACCTCCAAAGCCATTACTCTAATCCTGAAGCATGCAACAGTCTCATGTCACTGTGTATAAATATGCCAATATATACCACAAAAGCTGTTGGATTGAGATGAAAGCTCTGTGATACTATACAACAGAAATGTATAGGTACACTATTGTTCCGAAAATGCAATTTTTAAGAAAATTCTCAACCAGCAGCTTTATCACAGGATAAAGGCAGGTTAGACAGGAAGTATACATTAATCAGATTAAAATAGTCACAGACAGTCAGTGTCACAAAACAATAAAACTGATCATTGGAATAAAAGTTGTCAATCACGTTTATCGCCTATTGTAGTGTGTGTGCGTTTGTGTGTTGGGGGTGTGTTGGTGTGGGATGGGGAATGAAATAAAAACAATTATGATAGGAAATTAAGAGCTCCAACAAAGTTCTGTGGCAGCATCTACCGTACAAACCAACCAACACGAGGCATAGTTTCCAGGAAGTGGGGGTTCTGAGAAATCTGCTGTATAACAGATTGTTTTCTGAAAGGTGAATACTAACTGCGCTGCACTGGCTCCAGTGTGCAAACGAAGACCATGCTGACTGTATCTGGTTTGGTTGATAAAATGAGCGAAACATGCAACAAGTCAACGCACCAAGCCAAGAGCTGTGAGCACCAGCCCTCTTTATCTGTCAGAGTCTTAATATATTTTATTGCTGCAATGTTGCTGGCGCACATGATTGTGAGTGCCTTCCTTTATGTGTTCTTCTCCATGAAACTCAATCAAAAGGTAAGAAAACACCGGTAGCTTTCATGCCCTGTGTTTCATTTGCTATGCTTTGAAAATGAATTTAGAAATGTCTTTAGAAATGTCATGCGTTGCTTTATCCCCCCCCCCCAAAAAAAAAAATTGCCATAATTGTCATTTTGAAGGTCTGGTTGCTTGCAATGTTGAAATTAAGATCGTCAAAGATATCGCACTTAGGAATATGTGCAGAAAGAATAATAACAATGTATTTATTAAAGGTCGGTTGAAATTCAAAAGAAATGAATTTGAATTCAGCATAAAATAGCACTGTGGAGATGCTGTAATTTTAGAAATGCAAATACCTATGGGACCTAATTTAATGATAATGTTTGCAATCATTATAGTGCCTTTCATGTCCGGAGGATGTCTCAAACCTCTCCACAGGATATACAATAACACACAGTGACTGTGTATTGTGTAAGGGAATTTGTGATGATAAACTGGATTCCAGATACGTTTCTACTATTTTCACATCTATTTACATGCAACAGAGAAAACATTTTAAAGCAGGACTCGTGGTCCTGACTTTGGCATGTATTTATGCGTTTTTTTGTGTGCCTTTGTGTGTACCAAATATAGAGTAATATAATTGAATCCAATGTTTTGAATAGTTTCTTGGAATCCAGCTTAACACATAAAATGAACAACAAAGTGGGAATGGCTAAAATCCTGGTGTCACCAGATATTTGTACTTTCATTTCTCCTTTATAATGATGGATGGATACCCTGGATAGCCTTCCTCTGCTTTCTTGAAAAGTTCACGGAATGAATCCAACAACTGATCCAGACTATTATCTCCTTCAAATAATGCACAAAATGTAAAAGAGAAACAGGAATGCAAAATATTTTTTGCGATGAAAAAGAGCTGAACTGAAGCAATTGTTTCAAAAGTAACAGATTGAATCAGCTAACAGTTTTGTATCGTTCAGTACTAAGTATTAGTATAATTTCTGTGTTAACTGTAGTCATGTTCAAGCAACTAGACCCGTTAATTACAATTAATTCAATAATAATTGTTTTTTTCTCTGCAAAACAATGCTACAGTGTTACAGACCATATTGTTAAGTCCCAGTATTTTGTAAAGTTGAATAAATTCATAGAATCATAAAATTATACAGCACATCTAAAACGTTGAAGGACTATTTGAAATGAGAGTATTTTATTTCCCTAAAAGAGTAAGAAATACCTGGAATAGTCTCTCGCTAAAGTAGTTAATGCTCTTCTGATGAGCAGGATTTTTTTTAAAAAAAGTTGAACAAATATCCTGTTAGGATTGGAGGAAGGCATAAAAAAATAAGTGAAGAGCAAGGTCGCAAAATGATGTGTGAAATCCATTTTTTTTGGTCGAGTCCATATCTGCCATATGAAAGCTTGTTGCAATAAATAACCCTTTCTCATTGTGTGCTGCTGTCTTTGATTCTTATCCTGAGTTTAGATGTTAATTGTTTGACATTTTAATTTTTCAGTATCCAGGACAAGAAGGAAAAACTGACATGCATAAAGGTATGGTAACACATCATCTATTTATGTGTATTATTTTCCACATGTTTCGAAGTGGCTGCATTTGGACCTCATTTTCATAGACTGAATCCTGCACATAGTCTAAATGTGTCTTGTGTCAACCCGCCAGAACGCCACTGATTTCATTCCTGATTTCTATGAGATCAGATTGTGGCTGAAGGAGGTTCCCGATACCCAGCAGGGAATTGGCACAGATTGGCACCCAAACAAAGTTCTATCGGGTCAGTGTGAGACTGTCAGGTGTAGCTGTAGGGTTCGATATTTGTGAATCCTTCTACAAATCCCTATAAATAGATTGCATTTGCATGTAAAAGGAATGCAAAGCCAAATTCTTCAATACCAGTAGAGACAAAGATTAAGGCTTCTGTAGATTTTGGACAGATTACAGTTTTATTTTGAAGCTTAAAATCATGACGAAGATCCCTCTTTTGAAACTGTCCAAAAAATATTTGTGAAAATAAGAGTCTACTCTGCCGGAAGCCTTGCTTTGAACATGTGGACACTGTTCTTTTCATAGAAGCTTTAGAACATGACTTGGATGCTTTAACATCAAAATAACTATTGCAAATTAATCAAATTGCATTTATTTTATCAAACACAGTAAAGTCTTACATCACACATATAATAGAAATGGTGAGACAAAAATGATCACCGGTAATAACTAACACACCTCAAGTCTCAATTTTTTTTGGCATACCACTGGATTTTACAGAACAAATACGCCCATAAAATGCTAACCTGATTTCAGGCATTAATCTGACTGGCATTTTGCCCGAAGTATTTCATTACAGAACAATTAGCTGCAACCTAGATGTTAAAACAAAGTAAAAAGCCACATCCAGTTGTTTAAGATGCAGTTGAATAGACTTCAAAAAGATAAAGCAAATACCACAAAGCATTTTCGTATCTTCAGGAGAAACAAGATGCCCATAAATGGTTGTACCCTGACTTAAAACCACACTGAAACAAAGAAACACACTGCAACTAGATTGAACATGATACAAACAGATAAATGCAGGAAATATATTGTCCTGGGGTAGTTGTTATATCAAGAAGATCATTCATTTTTAGTAGCAAACAAACATGATTATCTACATAAACCGATGCAGAATGGAATATTTATACTTATTCAAAGAAAACTTGCAGGAGCAGATGGGAGCTATGTTACATACGTGCAGAACTTGTATTACCTAAGAATGATAAAGCCAAATGCTGGACATCCTTCCTATCTATTTATTCAAATTCTGGTACAATAATCTTCCAAACATTTAGAAAGGTTTTGATTAAATCTTTAACTGTGTCTTTAACTATTAGGTCACTTTGTAAACAACATTTCTACAATGTGCTTAACTTTGACATAGTCAGGTATAATCTGTAGCATATTTCTGACAGATATACAAAGGAGAAAAGTGCTGGGTTAATTTTCAATTTGTTAATTGATGTGTTTGAGTCAATTTCCTTCTGTAGTTATCTCCTACCTCCTTTCACAACATTACCGTTGCATGAATATTCTGTTACAACCCAGGATTCTTCCACTGTTATGCCACCACTTGCTGCCACTTGCTTCAGTTGGGAGGTCAGATCAGAGTAGGCCAAAGTGCTGTTGCACAATCAGCTGACAGCACTTGCACTTCTGTGGGAAGAGCTAATCAAGTGCAGAATGGTTTCCTCTACATGAGTTACAAGTACTTTGTTTAACAGAATAGTCAAATACTAATAAGTGTTACCATTCCAACATACTCCAAATGTTTTAAAATCAGTCAAAACAAAGTTCTGATCTTTGGTCCTCAGTTAACTAAATTATGTTTTGGTTTCTAAGTATTTTATGTAGACAAGTTCTGAATGGAGATTTAATAGAGAGTGTCTGTTTGTTGGCCATTTCCTCATTATGGTTGCACATTCTGCATAGCCCTGTTAATGTATTTACATCACCTGATCCTTGTGTTTCCACACTATGAGCTAAGCATTATACATTTCTGTGCTGGCTGAAATCAACTGGCTGTTCCAGTTATATACAGTAATTAAATAAGGTAAAAAATACTAATAATTCTTACATTTGGTATAGCATCTTATCACATTGGAGGGACAGCTCAAAAGCATTTCACAGGATTTACTGTGAAATGGAGTGACTGTGTATTTGTAGGAGAACGCGGCAGCCAAATGCGCACAGCAATGTCCCACAAAATGCTGTGGAGTGAGTGACCAATTTTATTTGGGGGATTTGTTTGCCACCCAAATAGTGACATGGGATCTTTAATGTCCACCTGAACAGGCAGATGGGACATTGGTTTATACGTCTAATCCAAAGGGCCATCGAGTGTGGATCTTCTGCTTAATATTGCATGAATATCTATTAATCCCGTGTTTTTTGATGTTCAGGTGACTGGCCTGGTTTGCCAACTAAAGGCAGAAACACCGTTCACCATGCAGCTCATCTTATTGCATGGCCACCGACAAAGAAAACTGCACATGAAAATGGACCAGGTAAATTCTAAATTGTGCAACGGTGATGACAATGGGAAAGGAATCGAATTACATCTAGGATAAGATTATAAATTAAAACAAGTTAAATATTTTTTTCCCTAAAACGGTAACATTTAGGCTAAAGTTGCAGGTTTGATCCTTGTACTGCAATAAAATATCTAATCTCAGCCAGGATTGCTACAATTAACTTCTTCCCTCTTGCCATCAATTTGAGAAAATGAATTATGTTTTCTGCACTTGAAATAACACCTGATGGAAGGTTCATACTGAGTGTACGAACAGGATTAGGTTGAATTGTGATCCCCACATAATTGAATAAATTGGTGATGATTCACTGTCTAAATTCATACATGATAAAAGGTCATTTGAGGAAAAAGTGCCTCAAGAAAAAGAATATAAAACAATACAACTGTGAGGTTATACCTATCAGGAAAGGCTGAACAAGCTTAGACTCTTCTCTTGAAAAGAGAAGGGGGGTGACCTAATAGGTCTTTAAAATTATGAAAGGTTTTGATAGGGTAGACATAGAGAAGATGTTTCCACTTGTGGACCAAAACCAGGGGCCATCAATATTGGCAGTCACCAATAAATCAAATCAAAGTCAGAAGAAACTCCTTTACCCAGAGAGTAGTGGGAGCGTGGAACTTGCTACCTCAAGGAGTAGTTAAGGCGAATAGCATAGATGCATTTAAGAGGAAGCTGGATAAGTACATGAGGGAGAAAAGAATAGAAGGTTATGCTGATAGGTTTAGTTGAGGCTCATGTGGTGCATAAACCCCAGCATAGACCAACTGGGCTGAACGGCCTGTTTCTGTGCTACATATTCTATGTGATTCTATATAGGGAAATATTAGGGAATGGGCTTATAGCAGATTTCTCCAGATCACCAGATATCTCTAATGTAGAGCTAGTACAAGCACAGGCACAATTATCTCCTTTTGCTGTAAAAGTTCTATGATGCTATGAGTCCAGATCTTCACAACGAGGTACAAAGAGCCAAACCTCAGAAGGAACACCTCGGACCACTGTGATTTTCAAAGAGTTGTCATCTGTGCAACCTCTGAGTGATTATCATTCTTAGTGGTGAATCAGGAGCAGTTTTCTGTTCTGAATCAACAGGCATTAAGCAATTGGATTCAAGAGTACACATTCACATCACAGGGGAGAATTGGATTCAACAGGAAATGGGGACTTGCATCCATTAGGTCTGGTCATAATTAGGACATAGATCCTATGAGAGAGGAGAAATCTGATCAAATGGCATCCAGACCGCTAAAGGGACATCAAGCATTTTGAAGTTTAATGTGTTTAAAGGTTCTGCGAAAAAAAACATTTTTTGGTATTAGTATAAGTCCTTAGTATAAGTCAATTAATGTTTCTGCTAGCTTCTGATTGTGACTTTTTGTTTACTGGTATTTTCTTGGATCAAATACAAATATGTTCTTAGTGGTCAAAAAAGGTCACTGTTATATTAATGCTTCTCTATAACGGCTGATTATTTTCTTTAACTAGGGAATAATTTTCCTTGTGAGAAAGGATCTCCGATAAAACAGTGGTCTACAGGATATCCTGCATTTACAAGGAACATGAATTACACCAGTGGCAAACTGGTCATTACCAAGCCTGGACTTTACTATGTTTACTGTCAGGTTAGTTTTCGACTGACCAGTGAGAAGAATTCCGACGGCAAAACCATAGTCCCATTTGTTCAATATATTTATATGCAAAGAATGGCCGATTTATCGACACTGCTGATGAAGGCATCAAAAACACCATTGGATACCAGCAAAAGATCAAGTTTCAACTCTGTCAATCAAGGCGGAGTATTTCAGCTCAAAAGAGGAGACCAGCTATTCGTATCTGTGACTGAACCAAAGGTTGTGAGCAATGATGAAGCAACGTACTTTGGTATTTTTGAGCTCTGATTTCAGCTCTTTAAACCTGAGTTAAGGGAACGAAGCGTCTGCTGTCAGATAGAAGAACAGTTCAATTTTTCAACAGATTTCCTAATCTTTTCACAAGAGCACATTTTTTTTGAATTGCTCTCCTGCAAACCAATCCCAGGACCCAGGATCATGAAAATCTTCAGCCTCGAAGCATTGCACATTTGCAAACGAAAATGTAGTTCAATTCACATTAAATTAACTAAATGCCAATATTTTGCAACTTTTATCTCAGATTTTAATTATTTATTTCATTGGCAAAGCAATAATATTTTAATATCCCAACAATTGAAAATATTTTATAATTTTATAATATTGTCTAAAAGATTGAGAAAGGACCAATGGAACAAGTTCAAACTCCTTGGGATTAGTTCAATAATGTACTCAGCTTTAATGATGAATACATTTCTCAAAATAATTGTGTAGATTTGCTTACAGTTAGTTTCCTCTTTGCAGGAAACTTGTTTGTGTGTAACTGTTTCCCTTACATTCTGTAAATTAGACTTGCTGTGGAAAAAAAAACTGTTCTATTTGTGATCAGACTGACATGTCTCACTTAAAGTTTAGATAGTGCTGACTTTTGATGATTTACAAATGCATCCTGTGTAGACCTACAGGAAGAGATCCTGCAGCTTGTAAACAGCAAACCACAGTGTGCAAGAGCCTGAGGCAAAGCTGGTTGTGAGTGAGTTAGCATCCCGTGCATGTATCCTCAGGTTTCTTTAACACTGATCTAATTATCAACCAAAAGCAGTTTTTTTTAAAAAAAAACTGAACATACACATTAAATGGAAGAGCAAATAATATCAGTGAGAAAACCAAAAGAAAATTGAGGCTGTTGGGAGTTTATCATGCAATGAATATTTTGGTCCTACCACAATGAGAATACAATTACCGCAGGGCCGATCTTGAAGCTGAAGTTTATAACATGAAGACCATTTCTAAAACTGGTTTAAAATCATATTTTATTATTTATGGCATTCATAAAATAATTGCAAAAAGTTAGTTTAACTTTCCTTTTAGTCATTTTGCAGTAAACTGTTTTTAAAGAGGTGCAATTCACTGCTCTCTCTCTCTCTGAAGTGGTTCAACAGCAAAAATACCAACTGGTGCTGAAGATTATATAGTTAAGAAGTGAGGCTTTTAAATCTTATAAACCATTTCAGTATTTGTGATAGTATTTGCAATTCAGCCGAAACCAAATTTTTTAATATTGCAAAAATATTTTTTCCTAGTAATGTTATTGACTTTATCGCATAATGAAAATCAAAGGTCAGTATTCTCATATAAAGCAGTACATTGTATTGAACCAGACCCTGTAAGTTCTCAGTATGCAAGGAGGGTTTGCACTAAGCAGTATTTATTTCCGATTAGCTCTTTCGGGGCAATGTGTGTTCTGTAGTAATAATTACAAGTGTTATTGTGAAACAAGCACAAATGTTTGGAAGAATGCTAAAATGATACTCGGATGCTATAGCTTGATGTTAATTTCTTAAAGTTTGTCTATATTATTTATCATATTGCAAAATAGGAGAACAAAATTGCACTTGTCAAGTTAGTAATTATCAATTTTAAATCAAACTACTTTTAAAATTGTTTGTTTTATCTGTTGTTTAATAATATTTCAGTTAAGCTATTTATTCTATTGAGTTGTTTATTGATGCATCCATATATTTAGAATTGTTTGAACTGTGACCTAAATAAAGGTTTTCTTTTTTTCTTGTATTTTTGTTTTCCTTTTTTTTGTGTTTTAGTAAAAGTAGAATGAGTTGAATCTATACAGCTAAACGTATACACAAGAGTCACTTGCAATGCATCAGTCACCTGCATATACAGGAAGTGTGTCTTCTTAGGGGTCAATCTATATTCAACAGCATGTCACTGAAGGGAGCACTTTCTTCTTTCCGCTGTGAATAGCATCTGTCATCTGACAATCAGATTAATGGACTGAAATTCTGGTTGGCATTACGCTTTGCTCCTTTGGAGAAGTACAATTATAATGTGGTTTACATCACAAAAAGGGCCTATGGTTCACAAACAGAAATGTCAGACGACAGTTTCGAGTGTATCTCTAATCTGTCCCTTTACTTGCATGCCCTAGATCCCGAATGTTCCTGCTCTGGACAATATATCAAGTGTTGGGACCACTGTTTTGACCAGCCAATTGATGGTAAGAAGTGGAAGTGCCTCATGCGAATGCCCTGATGTGCTTATCAAGCTCCAGCCAAGCTTCCTTGCAAGAGTAGAAACAATAGAATGGTAGCTTGTCAACATAAGTTATTAAACCTCAGAAATGATTTAATAGACTTTACACTTCCATCTATTCGTCTACTTCACCAGCTTGCTGTTGGAAGATAGTAACTTTCATCCCCTAAATAATAATTCTTACATTATAACGTTAAATTCCTACACAAGTAATTTCTGTCAAGTGTAGTGACTGTTTTTGTAGGCAAATACAGCAACCAGTTTACACAGAGTATGGCCCCACATTGGCCAAGAATAATCAATTATCTGGAGGATTGTTAGTCAAGACACCAAGAGAAATTTCCTTTGCTTTTCGAATAGTGTTACGAGTTCCCTAACATCCACCTATAAAGGTAAAAAAAATAACAGAATGAATAGGGAAGTGTTCAATGAAGCAAAGAAATGCAACAACAACAAAATTATATTTGTATAGCACCTTTCACATCAGGAGGACATCCCAAGGCGCTGGACAATCAGTGTTTCGGACCCGAGCTGGAGCTCGGGATCAAGGAGGGTGGAGGGAAGGAAGGTGATCGAAGGCACGGTCGAAGAGGAGAGTCTTGAAATGGGTCTTGAAGGAGGCAAGGGAGGGGTTGAGGTGGAGGGACTGCGAGATGGAATTCCAGAGGGTGGGGCAGAGTGGCTGAAGGCTCGCCTGCCAATGGTGGGGCAGGCGAGGCAGGGGACATGAAGCAGGCTGGAGCCTGCTAAGCGGAGGGAGAAGGCAGGTTGGTAGGGGGTTATAAGGTCGCAAAGGTAGGGGGGAGCAAGGCCATGGAGAGCTTTGAAGGTGAGGACCAGGATCTTGAACTGTATCCTTTGTGTGATGGGAAGCCAGTGGAGTCGGGCAAGGATAGGGGGATTAGGTCACGGAGTCTGGTGCGGGAGAGGACACGGACTGCAGAGTTTTGGATGATCTGCAGCCTGTGGAGGCAGGAATTGCAGAGGCTGACAAGCAATGAGTTTGCATAGTCAAGCCTGGATGTTATGAATGTGTGCATGAGGGTTTCAACAGCATGTGGTTTGAAACAGTGGTGGACCAGAGGATGTTGCAAAGGTTGGGGAAGGCAGAGTGAGTCACAGTATGGATGTGGGGGTAGAAAGGATAGTTGAGGGATGGGGTCGAGGGAGAAGGTGTTCGATTTCATGCGGGTTATAGTAGTGGTGAGAGAGGAATGGGAGACAGGTTCAAAGGTGTGGAGGGAGGGGTGGGTAGGGGCCGGGGTGTGAGGGGGAGATGGGGAAGGGGTAATAGTCGGAAGTGCAGAAGCAGCTGAGCAGATTTGGTTTTGAGGAAATCCAGCATTGCCTCGTAGTTGGCATTGGAGGAGAGGATGAGCAAGGCATGAGAGAGTGGGCGGTGGAGCTGGTTGGTGATGGAGAAGAGGAGCCTGGGGTTGTCCTTGGCCTCCAAGATTGTCTTGGGGTAGAACAACCATTTAGAGGAGGCCAGGGCGGTAAGATTTGATAAGGTCCAGCTAGATCTGCTGATGGATCATTAAATTGGATTTGAGCCAGGTGGGTTCAGCAGCACACAACTGAGCCTTAAGGGAGCAGAGATGGCTGGCAAACCAGCTTGAGTTTCGTGAGAAAGAAGCAGTTTGGGAAATGAGGGGAACAAGGGCAACGAGAATGGTGGGGAGGGAGTTGTGGAGGAGAGTGACCGAGGAGGATAGGTCATTGCGGGAGGAAGCCCAGAGGGGAGGGAGGAGTTCAGATGACTCAAAGGCAGCGGAGAGAGAGTGGAGTGGTGGTGGGGGGTGGGGGGGAGATTTTTTTTCAGGCAGCGGTAGGAGATGGAGGTGGATTGGATGGCAGTGTGGAGAGAGATTGAGGAGTTAAGGGAGATGAAGTAATGGTCTGAGATGGCTTTGTTGGTGATAGCAAGGTCTGAGACGGTGAGGCCCCGGGTGATCACAAGGTCGAGGGGGTGACTGCAGATGTGGGTGGCGGAGTGGATGTGGAGGAAAAGGTTGAGGGAGGAGAGGAGGGAGGGGGAGTCAGCAGAGGTAAAACAGGAGGGGGTGAAGTGAAGGTTGAAGTCACTTCAAATAGATAATTTCCTAGCTGAAGGCGGAATTAAGGCACGTCATCCACAATGGGTAATGGTGAGGCCACAGAAACTTACAAGCTTATCTGCCGATTGGTTCAGATTGTTTTTGTAACTGAACTGCATGCTTAAAAACGTGCTCGACATTAAAACTTGGCATAGCTGAGAAACTAGGACAGAGCAATGTTAACATGAGTAGAAAGAAAATTTTAAAGATCATGGATCTAGCACTGCAGAATATAGGAAATATTTCATGGCAAAAATAAAGTGATACTGTGCTATCCACTTATCTCAAACCCGTTTATATCGACATCCTGTGTATTGTCGACACAAATCAGAAGTCCTGTACCCTTCCCCGTATAGGAACACGTCAAACTTACCATGTATGTTGACATCAAATCTCAGAATGTTTATATGAACAAATTTTTCAAGTCCCCAACAACATTGTGTTCTTACCGCTTTTGTCAACAGGCAGGTTATTTTAAGAACAATAATAATAATCCTTGCAGTTAATATATTAAATCTTTATCACATCTTTGGGACGTCTCAAAGCACTTCATGGAATATACTGTAAAGTGAATTGACTGTATACTTTGTGGGTGAAACAACCTGAAGCCAGGTTATTTCAACCCTTGACTCCCCACGCTGAGCCTAGCTCTCTGATGTAGCTCCGTCTCAGCGATGGTGACATAAATGGATAGCACTTGTATACAATTTAATGCACAGAGCCACAAATCTCAGTTTATTAATGATGAGCGGCAGAATTGAGGTGCACTACTGGTGGAATAATAAGGAGATCCACTAAGATTATGTTCGAAAATGTGTGGGGTCTATCCACCCACGCCCGATTTATTTAAAATTGTTTTATTTAATTCCACTAAGTCTGAAAATATATTCTCGACTGTTGCTGTGTTTGTGTGTGTATAGAGAAGGTAGAGGGGGAGCATGACTCATATGTTTGTGGAATCTAAGTCACTAAGTTCAAAGTTTGTTGTTTTTCGAGTTATCATGACTGCAACTCGAAAATAAGTGCAACTGAT